AACTGGTACAACCACTATGGAAAGCTGTATGAGGTTCCTCAGACTACAAAAAATGGAGCTACCATTTGACCCAACAATTCCATTCATAGGGATCTACACAAAAGACACAGAAACAGTGATTCAAAGTACCTGCACCCCTATGTTTCTGCACCACTAATTGTAATAGGTAAAACCTGGAAACAACCCAACTGCCCCAAAAGAAACAACTAGATCAAGAAAATGTGGTATATATACAATGGAATACTATTCAACAATCAAAAAAGATGCTCATGCCATTTGTAGCAACATGGATGGAGTTAGGAATTATACTCAATGAAATAAGTCAGAAGAAGAAAGAAAAATACTGGAGGGTTTCACTTATAGGTGGAATACAGGGGAACCAAATAAGGCAACAAGGGGAAAAATGATAAAATAAAACAAAACAAACATAAACAGACAACTATATAAACCAGAGACATTCTGCAGGAAAGGGAGAAGGAAAGGGTTTGGAATGAGGGAGGGAAGAGCACAGGGGACTGTGGCGATGGTGCAGGGGTGCATTAGTGGTGGAAATTCTATGACACTATGCCTGAGAAAAGAAAGCAAACATTGTTTTAAATTAACGATGATGCAAAATACATATAAATTTAAACATTTAAATAAATTAAAGAAATAATAAAATAAAATTGATTATGAAGGGGGTAAACAAGCTTAGTTCACCAGCCCAGACATGACTTTCAATACCTTTAAGACTAAAAGAAGCAAATAATAGCATAGGATTACTTTAAGGACATCTTTATAAAATTACTACCATCTGTTATCATTGTCAGTTTCTTTTTTAAAGGCATTTTTAACATCAGGAAAAATGAAGGACAAACAATTTCAGTATTCTTTTATTGTTCCTTTTACAATGAATGAATTACAAAAACCTTTGCTATTGTAAGCATTCAAATGCTGTTGATTTGGTCATTTTATTTCAGGTCATCTGTAAATCAGGATTCCAAAAAGGTAACTTTTGGAGCAAAATCACCACTTGGGGTGGCAAATCTGAAGGAGAGCTCTCAGTTAACAGGAGACAAGTCTTTCTGCCTGTCCCCTGCACTCCCCAAGTTTCTTACTGTCTGAAGAAATAATCTTTATTTTTTCAATAGAACTGGGTTGTAGGTCAGAAGTAAAGGATAAGGGGGTGGTGGTGAGAGGATTTACCAGAGACAGAGTGGGGAGCAGAACAGGTGGATCCACTAAAATACACAGCTAGTGGGTGGGTCAGGAGAGGTCTGCTGTGCCTTGTGGGTCAGCTCCCTGCTGTGGATTGAACTCAGGTCCACATGGTGGGGCAGTATCTCAGCATTAGTACTTAGACTTAACCAATAGGCCACCAAAGAGGCCCTCAGAAATAGTTATGAAATCATTGGTACAAGAAAATAAACAACAACAACGAAAGAGGGCCATTATGTTGAAGAACTGCTAAAACATGGAAAACAGACTGGTGGAGAAGTTAGCTCAAATGAAGTCGATACCTGAGATGCCAGAGGTAAGTCTGAGTGGGGCACTGCATTAAAGTACTACCACAGAACAGATGGGACAAACAGAAGAGATGCAGAATATGCTAGGCCTCTGGGAAGTTCCCAGGAAAAGAAAAACTGTAGGGAGCCTGTCAGTAAGAAATCTCCACTGAGGGAAGCCTCTGGTGAGAGTGAAGGACCCCAGAGAGAAGCACCTTTAGACCTTCCAGACAGTGCAGGAGAATGAGGAGAAAGGCAGCTGTGTCCAGGAAAACAATAACAGCTGATGCTTCTGTCATGAGGGGGTTAAGGGAACCAAGTTCCCCCTAGGAACCTTCCCTGTCAAAAATCTGAATGTAACTTTTGACTCCCCATAAAACCTAACAGTATCTCCAGCGGACTGGTTTCAGAACCCCCACCCCCATACCAAAATCCAGATCCTTAAGTTCCTTTCAATTGGTGGATTCTGCATTCATGGATTCAACCAACCATTGATGTCAATTGTTGAAATCCATGACTGTAGAAACTGCAGATAGGAAGAAAATAAAAACTCCACTTATATCACATGGCGTGGCTCCATGTATTCAGGCAGTTCAAACCCATGTTGCTCAGTGGTCAACTGTACACAGGAATGGGTCCCTCAAAGAGTGAAACCCTTTTAATTATAGCAGTTATGGAGGATTCCCAGGATAGCTGCCAACTCCTCAAATACACACTACAGAGAAAGATACTAGTTAATTCACCTGTATGCTTACAAGTACTCATTCATTTTTTTTAAAGATTTATTTATTTATTCATACAGAACTGGGGTACAGCCAGAGGTGCAGGGGAGGTGAGAGGCTTCACCAGAGACTGAGTGGGGAGCAGCAGGTGGGTTAGGAGAGGTCTGCCGCGCCATGTGGGTCACCTCTGGGTGGGTGAAGCGAGCTGTGACTCGCTTGCAGTGCTGTGTCCTAACCCATTGCGCCACTGGGGAGGGCCCTCATTCATTTCTTTATTCACTTCTTCATTCAGAAGACTGTCAGGCTCTTATCAAGTGCCAGCAGTACTCAAAACAAAAATCCTTGACCTAGGGAACTTATATTTGAGCATGGGACAGAGTCAGTAATAAAATATATAGCTTGTCAGATGATAACAATTGGAGAAATATAAAGAACTCCCTTTTAAGGGAGGTTGGTAAGCAGACCTACATAACTTCAGAGGAAATGATTTTGTTTACACAAGCCAGTTTGGTTCTCTATGAAGTGTAAAGGTGTAGAAATAGGAGGGGGCAGTCAATGATTGCCAAAAATCTAATGTTATGACATGGAAAAGCCAAGTTGACCAAACAGAACAACATGGCATGGACAGACTATTCAAAATTCTAATTGTTCTTCTTCCACCCCTCCAAGGAAAAAGGAAAGACCATTATATGTATTAAATAAACTATGGCTATTATAAAAAAAAAAAAAAGAAAAATAGCAAGAAAACATTTTGACAATTTTAAATACCACATTAAGGCTGAAAAAAAAAAAAAGATATCCAGACTTAGAAAAGGGCATACATGAAGAACAAGTTAGTAAGCTAGACAATAAAGCTGAGGATATTACCAAGAAGGTAGGATAAAAAGCAAAGAGAAAATAGGAGAGAAATGTTAAAAAGATATGGAGAAGTTCAACATTCATCTGGAGGGAGTTTCAGAAGGATTGGGGAAAAAAAAAGATAAAAGAAGGGATGAAATTATAAAATCATAGGGAAAGTTTTCCCAGAGTTGAAGAAAGCTATGAATCTTTATCTGAAAGAACCCATTGGATATTAAGTAGAATGAATAAAAAAGACTCAAAAGTAGGCACATACAAATGAAATTTCTGAACTCCAAGGGAAATGAGAGTTCTAAGCATTTCTAGGAGGAAAAAAATTATTGATAAAAGCACAAAAATCTGTCCTCCCTGGTGGTGCAACAGGTTAGGACACAGCACTGCAAGCTAGTGGCAGCTGCTTCAGTACTAGTTCAATCCCTGGTCAGGGAGGTGACCCACATGGCATGGCAGACCTCTCCTGACCCATCCACTGCTCCTCTCAGCAGTGTACTTCATCGATCTGCCTATTCTACTCCCCACTCTGTCTCTGGTGAGTCCTCT